AGCTCCTTTTTCCACCCATTGATTTCGGCAGAGTTTCGCAGTTCATTGAGTATATTTCCAGTAAGATGTTAAATCTCCTGTATGGTGTTCACAGTGGGTCCGTGTGTTTGCTCCTGTTTATAAACTGTGTCGCGTTCGCATTTAAGCAAGCGCATGCGCTGTTGGAACTCTCGAAATGCCTTGTGGTGCTTTGAACACTCAGGTGTCCACCAAGATTTTGATTTGGCACATGGGTTGGACATGCTTGAGTATTTTTCCCAGGCATTGCAAAGCCATCCCTGATGTGCTTCACCCAGCAGTGAACATCATTAGATGAATCATAGCTGTTGTATTCTTTGGACATTGCGGCAATTACATCTTGGCATTGGCGCACAAAGGCCATGCCAGCTTGTGAGCCCCGTTTGATTACACGCCTTGGCTGGGGCATTGCTTTGCGGAGAAGTGTCCATGAGAGGACACAATGGTCACTCTTGAATTGTTCAGCCAGGTCAACAGTAAAGTCATCTGGCATGAGTTCAGCTGCACACCAAAGAAGGTCAATAGTACCAGGCTGTTTGGTGAGGTCATTAGAGATCCATGTCACTGGACATAGCTTTGTGTCGTTAGCGAGGGAGAGAGTTAAATCAAGCTCAGCGAGCTCGATCAGTTCTTCACACTTCTGAACCTGACGGTGTTCTGCACCAGGTAGGCAGGAAGTGAGTGTTGGTGTGCTTGGCGACAGGGAAGACAAAAGAACATGTGGGCAATTACGTTGAGCGATATATTAAGTCGACGAAGTGGAGAAGGACTGGAGTCAACATCAGGGAAGAGAAGACGGGGGAGAAAACGAGACTGGCAGCAGTGTGGCACTGTGAATGATGTGACAAGTTGCAGTTGCAAGCCATCACCTACCATCACTATCCATTACCACGGGCTCACGCTTTAAATATTGAGACCTTTGACATACGCCATGGGGCTAATTAGTTACTATTTTCAGCTGAAAGAGGCACAAAAATTGTTATGAAAATGGAAGCTAAAAAGACCAAACACTTTCCAATAAAAACATACAATAGGTAAAACCTGGAAATAGGAGCCAAACAAAGACACCTTTTTCAGTGATTCTTGCTGTAAAAAGCTGTTCTTGCAGCAAAAAGAGGTACAAATACCACCGGGCCATCTATATATGGAATAATAAATATATTCTCTATTGAGATAGGTACAAAAAAAGGTATACATCTACTATCCATTTACTTAAATAGGAGAGCTGACTTTTGTCGCAAAAGGACTGTAATACAAATACATTAGCTATTTTTTGGTGTCGCCGTGTGTGCCCGCTGATATGTTCACTGGTTGCCCACTGATTGCCCACTAGTCGCCCACTGATCTACCTGCCGGTTGCCTGAACAGCGCCTGCGAACGCGAGTGGGTTGGGCGATGCGAGTGGACACACATGGAAGGGTGTTGTGATTTGCAGTGCCGGTTGATGTTGTGCGTGTTCCTGCAAACGCCCGCAGACCATTTCTCACCGCTGGGCACGGCTGGCACAAGTAACCATATGCAGGGCATTGCACTTTCAGGCCAGAAGCTCGGCATCTCGTACATGATCATCATGCCTACGATCAAGGTCTGAAACATGTCCTGCATCGGCACCAAGGTTGTCCTGCACGGCAGTGACTTTGACGAGGCCAAAACCAAGTGTGCATGAAGATCTTGTCATCGGGGCCCGTGCGCACGTGTAGCCGGTACGAGACTGCACAGGGGAACACCCACCCGACGTTGATCTCGCTCACGTCCCACACCTCGGGCACCACCAGCAGCGGCGCCATGGGGCTGCTCGGCGCAAAGCTGTCATGGCTCGCAAACGCCGCCATGCGCAGCCCTTCATGTGCACGACCAGGGGAGGCATAATAGGCCCGGCATCGACGTCAGGTCCTTCGACGTGCACCTCGATGCTGCGCACGCTTCCCACCTTGCAGCGGCCTGCAAAGATCTCGGCGCCGAGCCATGCGTCCTCGCTGTCACTGCTGCCGTCGT